TTTCACGCGCGGCTGCTTTGCATACCACCTGTTTGGTAATGCATGTATGGCGATCTGTGGCATTGCCTTTTGTTCGTTTCGTTGTTCCTTCCAGCAGCATCCGATTTCGTGAACAAATTGCAACATCGCCAGAGATGCGCGACTGTATCTACACACTTATATATATATGTATAGATATGTGTATGTATCTATAGACATACACATATATATATATATATACGTACACATGTATATATTCCTATCTTGATTATCTCACCAGTAAGCTGACACAGATGGCCCCCCCCCCACAACATAATCTGGCGGGCCCCAGAGGCCCCAGGGGTCCCTGAGGCTCTCTCTGGTCCCCCACTCGGGCCCCATCTTGGGCCTCTCAGACCTCGCGGAGCCCCCACTTGGACCGCCACTTGGGCCTCCCGGACTTCGCGGAGCGGCCCAAGATCTCTCATGGTAACCTCGACACAGCCCCAAATGCCATTAAGAGAGCCCCCGAAGGGCTTCAGAGGCACCCGAGCACGCTCCCGAGGGATCGATATTCAAAACATATTTTGGGGAATCGACCATTTCCGCTCTCTCGCGTTCCCGTCTCCGATGAACCTCCAAGGCTTCACAATGGCTCCCAAGACCCTCCGACAGGGTCCCGAGGGGCCACCAAGACGTCCCAAGAGGCCCCAAGTTGTCCCCCAAAGCCCCAAGAAACCCAAATAAGCCCCAAGACGCTCCCAAGAGCCCCCCAGAGTTCCCCATACGGCCCCCTAAAAAGCAGCCACAGGCTCCCCAGAGGGTCCCAAAAGGCCCGCAAGAGTGCCCAAAGGCCTGCAACACCCCTCCCCACAGCCCCCCAGCGACCGGGGCTGATCGCAACCACTTCGGCGCGATCGCAACCACTTGGGGCGGATCACAGCCGGTTGCGATCAGGCCGAAGCGGTTGCAATGCTTTGGGGTCGCTTACAATGTGTTTTGGTTAGCAGAGGCTCTCCAAGAGAGCTTATGGAAATAATGGATTGCTGTGGTCTCAACGATGGAATTTTGACAAAGTGGTTGCGATCGGGCCGATCGAAGACCACAAGTAATACTGGTAGTAGTAGTAGTAGTAGTAGTAGTAGTAGTAGTAGTAGTAGTAGTAGTAGTAGTAGTAGTAGTCGTAGTAGTAGTAGTAGTAGTAGTAGTAGTAGTAGTAGTAGTAGTAGTAGTAGTAGTAGTAGTAGTAGTAGTAGTATGTAGTAGTAGTAGTAGTGTAGTAGTAGTAGTAGTAGTAGTAGTAGTAGTAGTAGTAGTAGTAGTAGTAGTAGTAGTAGTAGTAGTAGATAGTAGTCGTAG